AACTTAGGAAAAGCCTTAAGATCGCCAAAATTGATGAGCAAAATAGCCAGTGAGATGAAGGTAGATTCTGCATCGGGAAATAGTCAACGACTGTTTCACGTGATACGCAGAAACGGAGGTCGTCGCATACCGGTCAGGAGGACCATTTGAGAAAACGGGCACAGATTATACACAATAAAGAAGAACGACTTGATCCCTGGGCAGCGTATTTTAGCGAACAGCTCAGTTGGTCCAGGGCTAATGCGGTCATTTCAGCAATTGCGGCGGAATCCCCATAGATGGAAACATGTGAGCCTCCAAAACATTTAGAACTTTCAAAGTGTAAACTGCTGCTCCAAGATTGGGTTGGCTTAGTCCCCAGTTTCACCTTGACCGGGGAAGTTGTAGGGAAAGTAAACAAGTTTTGCTATCTGGGTAGCTGTATCTCACCTGGCGGACGCACCACAGACAGAGTGTCGGCGCGCATACAGAAGGCTCGATTGGCATTTGCCAACTTGAAACATCTGTGGCGCCGTCGTGACATCCGGCTCTCTGTTAAGGGTCGAGTGTATGCTGCGGCAGTTCGGCCAGTTCTGCTATATGGCGCAGAAACTTGACTATTAAGGAAACAGGATAAAGATAGACTGTCGGTGTTCGGACATCGCTGTCGCCCACTGGAGCAAGTGGTCAACCTCCATAGATTACGTTGGTTGGGATATGTGTTACACATGTCACCAGATAGGTTGCCAGGGCGAGCGATGTTCACCGAAGCAGATACCAAGTGGATGAAAGTCAAGGGTGGTCAATCTAAGACTTGGTATGAGGGTATGAAAACCCTAACCAGGAATCTGGGCCACATAGGTCCTGTTAGGCTTCCTGACTGAGGACCCTGAGATTATGGTCACCGATGGTTAGAGACACTGAGCGATATCGTTGGGTGTCGCAAACAGTGGCGCTCATGCATCTACTCATTGTTCTTGCAACTTCAGTCTATGAAAATGTGCTATCTTCTGGGTTGAATTTGCTCTCAACATTCTAACCATCATTCTGTTGTTTTGTCCAATTGGACAAGCAAAAGACAGCAACCGAAACCGGCGCACGGAGGTGCATGATTAATGGTTCTAAGAACTGAACTGAACAGAACAGATTTAGAAGTACGAAGCTGTATTCAATCATCAAAAGGAAAGGTGGCCGGACCTGATGGGCTTCTCTCTATCATTTATAAAGTGGGTGTTAATTCTCTTGTCGACTCGATTACTAGCTCAATTCGTAGCATTTGTTCGCGGGAACATATCCCTTTTGTCCTGGGGTGAATCGTTGATCGTCTCGATCTTCAGGGATCACACAATGACCGCGCTAACCACCGCCGGAGTAGTTTAGCTCCGATAATCTCAAAAGGGTTAACTTCTGTGATACTTCGCCGCCGGACACCCTTAAGTGAGATGAACATACGCGAACAGTCTATATTTGTGTATATACATTTTACACCGGCTGGTAAGCAAGCATGGTGCCAACGCCACAAGGTCGCGGTTGCATCGACCAAATCTTCACTTTGCGTCGTGTCCTGGAACAGCGTCACACATCGTCGGCCAACAATCGCAGTGTTCCTTGACCTAGAAGGAGCCTTCGATTCAGTTGACCGTGAAGCTCTTACGGGGTCCTAGTTGTTAAAGGAATGCGGCAAAAGTATGTAAACCTACTGTGGCCGCGATATCGGCACACTTATGGTAACGTAAGGGTCTACCCTGAACTAAGTAAATCGTTCGAAACCAGGAGCGGTGTTCGTCAAGGGTTTCCTCTTTCGCCAATCCTGTTAAATTTCGTTGTCAGTGGTCTCCAAAATGTTGGTATTGATTGGGCAGTTGAAGAAAAGCTGTGCAAGTTAGAGTAAGCGGATGACATCGTTTGCCTGTCCGAATGTATAGAGGATGCGCATAGCGCTCTTTGCACCTTGAAGGTGCAAAGTGATGCTACAAGATTGGGTGTCGTCTACCCCATCGCCGATGATTGATGGTCAAGAATTAGGTATAATGGAATGTTTTCCTACTTAGGNAGCTGCGTGACGAATGACGGTAGCATAGTCGATGAAGTGACAGCCCGCATTTCCAAGGTTCGAGCAGCTTACGCAGGAGTAAAACACCTTTGGTGCAGACCTGATATTTCGTTGAAACTGAAAGCTCGTGTATACTGTGCCAGTGTACAGGTAGTTCTGCTTTATGGTTGCTATACCATAAATTTGTGCAAGGAAGATATTCGTCTCTAGAAAGCTTCGATTGACGATGTTTAAGAAGTTTGGCGCGGGTTGGATGGAGCCGGCGTGTAAGCAACTTCGAGGTAAGGCATGGCGTATTTCGTAATCAGTCGATGAAGAATTCGTTGTCCGATCGGAATCAGATCAGTCGGTTTCGCTGGTTAGGATGCGTATTGCGTGTGCCCAGCCATCGTCTACCGCATCGCGCCTTATTCGCGGTCGTGGTTGAAAGAATCCACGTGGAGGTCGACAGATGATGTGGAAAGGAGGCTAGAAGAAATGCACAGAGCGATTAGGTAGAATAGGTGTCTCCTTTCTTCCACGTTGGGGTCCGAAAGACTCTGTAACTGGTTGGTTGGAGACATCGAAGGATATGGCAGCGAACTGACAACAGTGGCGTTCTTGTTGTCAATTCCTATCAAGTTTGAATGCTTACAAATGTATCTATGCGCACTTAGATAGTGTACGCTGCTTGTTGATTATAGAAGTTCACTTTATTTGCTTCCCTCCAATTAGGCCAGATCCCTCTCCATCTTGCGCTTTATCGCTAAATTCGTGTACATTGTGAGGTTGGCAGCGATTAGTGAAGCTCGCTTCATTATATCTCGCTGTTCGATGATGAGAAACCAACACCCGACGATGGACCTCATCATTCGTCGCCCGATGTTTCCACCAGATACGAACAAATACTTGAATACAGAATAAATTAGTATCCTCGGTGTGGAGAGACTAGGTCTCGCGACCGTCAAGTAGAACACTGCGAACCGTGGATGTTGTGATGGTGCTACATGTGTCGCAGGTTGGCAAAAGCATTTCTAACTTCCACTATTTCAGATGTGATCTCTTCCCCAACAGCACCTACAACTGCAACCAAGCTCCCCAGGTACCCAAAGACAATGATTATTTCTATCTGATCACCACAGAGGGTGAGTGCAGCGACGAGTTCTTTCCGTCTCGCACAATTAATTAGCGTATGGATAAGGCAAAGTACATGCGATATCTAGATACCCCGATCGCCAAGTCCAACAGGCCAAAGCCTGTTAGATTGTCTGCGTACGGTTGCCTAGAAAGGCCATATTATGCGCACAATCCAGGTCCAGAAAGGTGTTCTCTGTGAGTTGTTTACTTGCACCGTTTTCTGAACCGGACAAAGAATTTAGTATGATATTCCTCACGGTATATCACATGTAAATGCGTCAGGTGTGGCATCGAAACGACGTTTGCTACACGGTACCATTTTGTAGGTATCACTTTGTCATTTTCCCGCATGTATTCAGTCCAATCATTGCCATCTTTAGCCACACTTGAATCAAATTTCACTGACGAGAAACTGTCTGTGCTGGAAAGGTTCCCCATTTTGGAGCATTGCGTTTTCATGTGATAAATAATATCTTTTTTCGTGAAGGCTGAAAAGTTCTCATGCTTTCTGGGTATGCGGCTATGCTTGGTCTTGTTCCTGTTCACATCCTTCTTCGTTCTGGTGTAACTCGAATGCTAAGGAACCATTAAAATTGTTAAACAGGTTGCGTTTGTTAAGGTAGTACACTTGGACCACATAAAAACTGACTACAACACTTGAATTTGGTTATATGAGCCCCATCGTCCCCGCTTAACACTAACCTGTCTTCCACGATAAAGAAACCATGTTTGACCGCCAGACCACGCAGCTGGGAGACAAATTGTTCTGGACTGCCAGTGTCAAACTGGAGAATGTCCAAATGCAATTTCAACGCGCACACTTTAGGCCCGAGTTTGTCAGCCAATTTCAGCAGATACATCGGATCGGTCGTATCAATGGCAACACACAGCTGGGTAGATTTGGATTGGATAAGTTGGTCCAACGAAGCTTTCAAACGAGGACAGAATGAGATTGACTGTGGTGCGACAGGGGTCTAGAGAAGAAAAGAATGCAGGAGATCTGGCTGAGTTATGGAACCATGGACAAGAAGTTAGCGTTTACCAGAACCCGAATCGCAATAAGAAAAACTGACCGGGTCAATTTGCGTGGATCGAATAAAGTTGACTACGCTATTGCGCTCATTTTCGCTAATCCGACCGTCTGTGGACAGAATATCGACCAATTCCGTTAGTGTGAAGAGACTAGAAATAAGAAGGGAACGCAGGTCTGAATGAAAAGGTGAAACAAACGGAGCGTGCTACAAAATGGAAAGAATGAAAGCATAATTTAATACCATTGTTAATAAATCACTATAATTATTATTATTGTAATACTAGCAAGAAGAGGATGGATCGTTACCAAAAAACAGACAGTTCAAGACAACTGTCGTTTCGATTGCACTCTCCTGGACGAAACAAACAACTGATATTAACTGTTTTTGAGTGCCTGTAAAGAATCGTTAGCATGTTGAAAACGGCAATGTGATAAATAACGCTCCGATATAGAGAACCAGTACAAACGGATTGCGAATTAATTATATAATGGATAAAGGAACTCTTTTATCCTACACCTCTGTGTAGTGAGCAGTCTGCATTAGCAGTGTCTATCACAGGCAACGGAGTAAGGTAGTGTGACGATTCTAAAATAGTTGATTTATTTCAAAACGGAGGTGCATGAAAACAAGAGCAGGTCAGACCGAAACACCGGCATAAACGGGATTGCCTAACATGTATCTATTGTCGGGCATCGCATCACCCTCTGTGGCGCACATTAAAAGAGTATTGGGAAGGGGCATCAGTAACAAGTCGGCAGATAATCCTGGCGGAAATCATAACTTACCTTGTAACAGATAACTTGTGTTTAGAGCGCAAAATATCCGCTCCGCCGTTCTCTCGATCGACAAGTACCAAGGCTCGAGATACGCTCATTCCTTCGTTACGCAGAAGCTGTTTGTTTCCAGAACGCGAAGTGATGAAAACCAGTATCGAGAAAATGGGAACACAGGAATGATCAACCGTAAGGTTATGCAAAACCAATCACCGGTGGACTCTAAAAATGCAATATTCCACAGCTGTTGTAAACCTAGTTGCACTAATCAATAAAACAACAGACGAAACTCCCTCACTTCACAGAGATAATACGTTACTAACATCCAATGAGCATATCAGCCACATTATTTTATACCCAGACTGCCTATAGAAACGGTAAATGAAGGTGGCCAAGTGAGCCAAAAGAACTAAATGAATTCAAACAAAATAAATAATATATCTTTCTCTTTCCCTTCCAAATTGAACCAAATCCCCCATTACTCACAGGAAATAATACATCATTTAAATTTTAAAGATGTGGGAGGTGGAAGGGTTTAGTTTGAATAGCCACAGACAAACAGTGATGGGGAAAATGATACAATAAACTCTAACAGACAGTGTATGGATGATAATGGTTCAGAGTTTAGATTAGAGGAGGAAAATTAGATGAAAATCCGATTTCCCTTCTGAACATTTTCTTTTACCCCATGGAAAAGACTTATGATCAATAACACGAATCCAAATTTCACTCCCGTTCGATAACCCAGAAAAGTAAGGTAGTTGCAGATTTTTTGCTCGGCCCTCAGTTGATATCGACCGTTCGGATCCAGCAAATGGAATTCGCAGACAAACAAAATTTAGATGTAACTTGTATAAGGCTAATATACTTCACATTTGTATGCGTGTGTGATTCAGGGAATAAGAGTTGTAATTATGTTAATAATCTGTTAGGTTACTGGAAACAAAAACTCAAACTCGGCCTACTTTGAAGCGGAGACAAGCAAGAGATTGTGTTTTCATACTATTGAAGTTGCTCATTTGATTTATTATACGATAGAACAAAACGGACATAGCACATGTGTGATAAAACCTCGCATGAATATAATCAATCAAATTGATTGATAGAAGACTTACCTCGACCACAGAAGCCAAACTCGCTCCAGATGTGATGACATCCTCCACAACCAAACAATGCTGGCCGGGCTTCCAAGTTCCCTCAACCATTTGTTTAGTCCCATAAGATTTTGCCTCCTTACGGCACATAACCATGGGCAGGTTTTCACGTATTGCCATACACTGAAAAGGGGAGATACAAAGAGTAGGGAATAATCAAACAAGAAACGGTTGAGATGGTCAAAAAACACCCTGAACAGCAACTGCAGGAAAGCAGTACTTTTGGTAGAGAATTGATGCTCACCAGGAAGTGTAGTGCGTAGTGAAGTGATTTTCACTTCACCAATCGACGAGTTTAGAACAGAGCTCGATCACAACAATGACAGGAGGCGAAAAACCAAAAGAGATGGTGAACGGATGGATCAATGTGAGTTCTCTTCTTTGGGTTGATTAGGGGTTATTTCAAACCACAGACGGTTTTCAATGTTTATTCAAGACTCAATCGGCCGTTGCATGAATACTCAAAATCCTATTTATTCTATACTTTGTTTATCCTATGAATGCTAGCACACCATGAGAAGTAGGAGCAACTCTAGACCATCCTAATCGTATAGATCAGCACAGTCGGATGAAGTGACATACCGTAGCAATGGGCAAAGCGGAATAAGGAACACCGCAAATCAGTTCAGCTGGGTCCGCAGGCTCAGCTGGACACAAGTGGCACAGGGCGTCCGCGATTGAAACCTACATTTGAGAACAAACAGATAGGAAAACGATAAGAATAAGGCGGGTTCAAATTGTGGCATTTGAACAACCGGTTTGGACTGTGAAAAGCCGCATAATAGTAAATCTACATGCGCTAAAATTCGATCAGATGACTGAGCTCAATTCCAAGTGTATTATGTATATAATTTCGCAGTTCAGTTCCGTGTATGTTTCTGTTAATTTACGATCAGCCATGCTAATCGATACTTGCAACTTGTCTCTTTTCGCTGTTTTATGCATCGGTGATCACCACTGATCTGAATGACTGAATAGGGGAGACGAAAAAGAATCAGCTTGACAAAATCCGTGGTGGACAGTCGTTTGTACAACCCCCTCTGCGTACCCAAAAACAATTTGTGGAAAGCGCTCAAGCTTCCTTGTCTCCTCTCGTCCTCCACTCTCACACACCGTATCATGTGTAATAACGATGATGGAATGATGGGACAAACTATCATGTGCTCGTAGTGGATCCGATTTCCGGTCTCATGATGAAATCGTTCCTAGTAGTCTGTAATGTGATGTGAGTTTGTTTTTACTTTCCTAAAACAATTTCATTCCTAAGTAGTGATATATATTGAGATATATTGGCATGAATACGAATCTCCGAAAACGAGCTTGTTCGCCACTCTGTTATGTTTGAAAATTCGTTAGCTTAGTCATTTAAAAAAGATTAAAAAATGTGACGTTGCAGTAATGTCAACTAGTGCCGCCACAGGTGTAGCAACGGCATTTCGGAGTGTTTCAATGAGTTGTGGACAAGACATCTGAACAGGAATCTCATGCATGCATACATACTGCCTGAATTACTTCCCTCCCGTATGCGTCAAACTCCCGGTAAGACAATTTGCACAATTAGTCACCGTCATTACGTCTATGTTTCTGTACAGAATGCGTAGAAATTCCGAATGTTAGCTAAATAAAAAAAATATCACACACAAGTGGGAGGCTATTACCAATCATTGAGGAGAGGATTAAAGTAGAAATAGGCACACTCAAAGCAAAAATAGAGACCGTAAGTTCGAAGACCACGCCACGATTCTGATCCAGTGGTCGGCTAAATGATCTAGGTTTTCAGTGAAAAAGGTTACCGTCCGCAGCGGACGTACATGACAGAATGCAGCGCGACTGCAAAATTAAATGTAATTTCACTTACTACCTCGAAGCTAATGAACATTGTGTATGCTCCTCAAACGCAAAAGCCATTGTCAATAAAAAAAATAAACAATAAGCAGTGATTAGCACTACGTTGACAGTTACTTGTGGTCTCTTAATGAGGGCTTTCGACCAAATTGTGAGTCTAACACGTCTTCGGGGCCATCTGAATTCGACTCAGGGGGGAGAACACAGGCTACAGAGTGACGCTGGTGAGCGAATCGGATTTACAGCACGTTCTTCTGATCAGCTTCCCCTCCAAAAGAATCCGTCCAAAAGAAATAACCACCGAAATGGCCAGGAGATTTTATTTCAATATGCATGCGAGAAGACTGTACTTATTCGGGTTATAATCCGGTCTTTATGGCAGAATTCGGTGTATCGAATCGGACGGGACCCTAACCATCCGTGTTGTCCAATATCCACCTCAACCCCGAATATCCAGCTCAGGGAGGGGGTCATGCAATTGAGTCAAGCTTCCAAAAATGTTGGTCAGAATACATACATTACTCCTTTGCCTTCAAAGCATGCACTACTAGGAAGTCCGTATCGTCCGATTTTGTCTATGGACCTAGANTTCGACATCCATTTAAGTGCATAAAACCGTAAAACTAAGCGATATTTCTCAGTTCCGGGACTGAGTGCATTACTTCCCATCGATCTCTCCATTCGGGTAACAAAACGGAAAACGGATTTGAATTTAACATCAATTCGAAGCTGGCACTGAACCAGAATGATAAATAATAGTAGTGGGACACAGGTGAATTACTCAGAGCCAGTAGGAATGCGTAATGTGATAACATTTTCAGACACCTAACAATCGTACAAATGGATTAAAGCCATTATTGAGCAACCAGCTTTATATATATATATATATATATATATATATATATATATATATGTAGAACAAATATAGACCGACATAAATTAGGTGC